CGTGCAACAGATCGAGTAGCAGCGGAAGCAGTAGTAGGGCCCTAGGAACAGTTCCCACGAGGGAACCTGCTCGATACCATGTGAGAACTTAGAACGAGAATGGATGAACTATGAATGAACTGAGTACAAGTACTAACCCTAATTGGGTTGTACCCCTTATGAGCTACCCCACTATAGCCTACACAATAAGCACAAGCTATATGTTCTGACAGAATGAATGCACTAGGAAAGTGTTGGGTACAAGTATGAAACCCTAAAAGGGGTTGTACCCCATATTGGCTACCCCACTACAGCCAAACCATATATATCATGCATATAATTTGACACACCCCCATAGGCAAAGAAGGGGAGAGCAAGGGGTCACAAGACCACTCAAGAGAAGCAAAGCAAGCTCAGGGTGGATCACAACATCACCACACACACTGAGCACAAACAAAGGGCCACAAGGCCAGTTTACATGCAAAGGTATATATGCAACAACAACACCACAGTGATCTCTACCTACCAAGAGCAAGCATGCAGGTATATATATATATAGATCATAGTACAGGCAGGGCCTGCAGCAAGTGAGGAAACGTAGGCACAAGGCCCAACAAAGTACAGAAGCGCTAATGATCACCAGGCGGTAGTGCCTTGGTGAATATATCAGCAGTGTTGGCCTGAGTGGCCACGTGAGCAAGACGAAGCTGACCACGCTGCTGCAACTCTCGAGCAAGGAAGTAACGCAGAGCCATGTGCTTCGTTCTGTGCTCCAGTCTGTGCAGCTGACACAAGGCAATGGCGGCCTTGTTGTCTACGTACAGCACTGGAGGAGAACGAGGCCGCTCTCCCAAGTCGGTCAGCATGTAGGTAAGCCAGCGTAACTCCTGTGCAGCCATGGCTGTGGAGTAGATCTCAGCCTCGCAACTGGAGCTGAGAACAGAGGAAGAGCGTGTAGACCACCAAAAAACAGAGCCAGAGCCAAGGCTGATGGTGTAACCCTGTGACGACCGCTGCGTAGCCAAGTCGTCAACCCAAGAAGCGTCTGAGTGACCAGTGAGGACAACGTCGCCCCGTCCTCCGAGCACGAGCCCCATGCCCGATGTACTGCACAAGTAGCGTAGTACCCTCTTACCAACATGCATGTGCACCTTTCGGTGCCGACCATGAGCCACGTAGCAAGCCAGAAGGACAAGAGGGTACGCAAGGTCAGGGTGAGTGCAGGTCATCAGGTACATGAGGCAGCCCACAAGCTCTGGGTAAGAACCACTCGGCTCTACGGACTCGTCCGAAGGTGGAGCTGAGAGCGAGTGACCTGCAGCCAGAGGAGTGGCCTGTGCCAAGGACCAAGTAAAGCCGAAGCGCCGAAGAACCTGCTGCACCATGTGTGAGTGAGTCAGTGTGATGGTGCGACGTGCTCTGTCCCGGGTGATCTGCAAGCCAAGGTAGCTGCGCAGCTCACCCAGGTCTGTGCACGTGTGTCTCTTCTGCAACTCCGACTTCACCAGGGCAAGAGCCTCAGTGTCAGCAGTGGCAAAGACCAAGTCGTCGACGTACACGAGGATGTAGAACGGCGGCAGCGAAGTGTCGGTGCGCAGAAACAGCGATGGGTCAGCAGTCGACGGAGCGAACCCAAGAGCCGCAAGTGTAGTCCTCAGTGTGTCGTGCCACTCACGCGGCGCCTGGCGGAGACCGTAGACTGGCCGCCGGAGGCTCCACTGGGTACCAGGAGGGAACGACCCTGTGAAGCCAGGTGGGCGGCGCAGCCAGATCTCCTCATGCAGGCTGCCCTGTAAGAAGGTTGTGCTGAAGTCGAGAGACTGAAGCTCGTAGTCACGCTGAGCGGCAGCGTGCAGCAGCACCCGAATAGTGGTCATCTTCGGGGTGGGGGAGAAGGTCTGGAAGAAGTCGACTCCCTCCCGCTGACTCAAGCCTCGAGCAACGTAACGAGCCTTGAAGACAGGCGGAGAACCTGGCGGCTGCTTCACCCTGAAAATCCACATGCCATCGACGATGTTCGCCCCAGGAGGGGGAACCTCGTGAATGTAAGTGCCTGTGGACTTCCAGGATGCCATCTCTGCGTCCATGGCTGTCCGCCACTGAGAGGAGTAAGGACCCGCGATCGCCTCAGCGTAAGAACGCGGAGTCAGGATGTGTGGTGCATCCGGGTCTCCCTCAGGTGCAATCAGCATGGACACGAGATGAGGCGCAGCGGCTGCAAGACACTCAAGTTCCTCCTACCAGTCCTCAAGGACTTCCGTGCCAAGAGCACACTCACCCCTGACGGACGGAGGACAGACTGAATCAGACTCAGCAACAAGACTAGCGGCGTAGTCTAGACGACAGGCAGTAGCAAAGTCAACAAGCTCAGCGACTAAGGCAGAAGCAGCAGCAGACTCAAACGACGGGTCAGTGACAACTGTGGCCAGCAGACGCGTGACAGTAGGGTGAGCAGTGCGAGCGCAGTCAGACTCAGGCTCTGGAACGTCAGGCAGAGAAGACGCAGGAGGGGACGACAGGGGAACACGATGCGGAGCAGAGGAAGGACGCAGGGCCATGAGGTGTGTACCGGGGACAGTCGGCGGACGCTCACGAGGAACACAACGACCAGTACGACCAGTGCGGACAGTGCGAACAGGCCTGACAGGACGAGACGCAGGCTCACGACGCTCAGCAAGACCGCCTGTCAGCTCAGTGTAAGGAGAAGGAGCAGGCAGCGGTGAGCCAGGCTGTGACGGAAGACCAGTAGAAGACGGGAGGCTAAGAACCTAGCGAAGCGCGGAGCCAGGCGGTGGCAGAGACGAAGGTGACGGCAGAGCGAAGAACATTCGCTGCGGTGCAGCGCCACTAGCACCAGTAGCTCCAGCACCTCCAGCAGCTCCAGAACCTCCAACTCCAGCGCCACCAGCAGCTCTAGAACCTCCAGCTCTGGCGCCACCAGCGCCACCACCTCCAACAGCTCTAGAACCTCCAGCGCCAGCACCCGCAGCAGCTCCAGAACCTCCAGCTCCAGCGCCACCAGCGCAAGCACCTCCAACAGCTCCAGAACCTCCAGCGCCAGCGCCACCAGTAGTAGCACCCCCAGAACCGGCACCTCCAGCTCCAGGGCCTCCAACCTCAGAGTCGACAACAGCACCTCCAGGTCCACCAGGACCTCCAGTCCCAGCAGCTCCAGTACCTCCAGTACGAGCACCTCCGAGACCAGCTGCTCTAGGAACTACAGTAGAAACACCTCCAGTAGTAGAGTCACCAGCTCCAGCGCCTCCCGCAGTAGGGCCCCCAGCTCCAGCAGCGTGACCCTGACAGCTAACATACCACTCACGCAGCTGCTGTGGGGAGAGAGGGACAGCGGCGGCTCCAATTCCTCCAACACCAGCGTCTCCCGCAGCAGGGCCCCCAGCTCCAGCAGCTCGACCCTGACGGCTAACGTACCACTCACGCAGCTGCTGTGGGGTGAGTGACTCGCGCGGACGTCGCTGGAGCTGCATCTGGCCACCGCCAGTAGCAGCAGTAGCAGTAGTAGCAATAGTGGCAGCATCTGCACCCTAGCAGCAATAACAGAAGTGCTAGCAGTGTGGGCAGGGCAGGCGCGGCATGCAGGCAGGCAGGCAGGCAGGCAGGTAGGCAGGCAGGTAGGCTGATGGCGCGGCAGCGCGCTAACAAGGCAGGCGCTCGGGAAGCTCGGGTAGGGTAGGTGCTCACCAGTGGTGGGAAGGGCAGGCGCTCGACGGGCGAGCAGGGCCGGCGCTCGGCGGGCGGCAGCAGGGTAGGCGCACGACGGCAGCGACGGCGGGGCCGAAAAAGCGGCTGCAGATTAGGGCCGCGTTGACAAAAGTTAGAAGAAGAAAGAGGATTGAACTAGCAGGAATGAGGATACAAATAGCAAAACCCTAGAAGGGTTGTACTCGCTATAGAGCACCCCACTACAGGCTAGAACAATAAGATAATATTCTGACATGCGTCAGCTGTAGGGCTGGGGCTACGACAGCGGCAGGGCAGGGCCGCGGCAGCTGCTGCAGGGCGGGGCCGTGTCGGCGGCAGGGCAGGGCCAGGCGGGGCCGCGTCGGTGGCAGGGCGGGGCCGCGACAGGGGCAGGGCGGGGCCGCATCGGCGGCAGGGCGGGGCCACTTCAGGGGCAGGGCGGGGCCGCGACAGCGGCAGGGAGGGGTCGCGTCGGCGGCAGGGCGGGGCCGTGTTGGCGGTAGGGCGGGGCCGCGACAGCGGCAGGGCGGGCCGCGACAGCGACCTGGCGGGGCCGCGTCGGCGGCAGGGCGGGGTCGCGACTGCGGCAGGGCGGGGCCGCGTCGGCGGCAGGGCGGGGCCGCGACCGCGACCTAGCGGGGCCGCGTCGGTGGCAGGGCAGGCCGCGTCAGCGGCAGGGCAGGGCCGCAACAGCGGCCTGGCGGGGCCGCATGGGCTGCAGGGCGGGGCGGTGCTCTGGCCTGACGGGCCTGCAGGGGCGGCTCGCGGTCCTGACGTGTCTGCAGGGCGGTGCGTGCGTAGCTAGGGCAAAAGTAGGCAGCTCGAGGGCTACAGAATGGCGCGCGCAGCGCAGCACGTCACAAGGCAAGGCAGGGGAAGACGCGTGTAGGACAACACGTAGGGTAGCGCAGTAACCGCAACGGTGGGTGGGCCCGGAAAAAAAAAAAAAAGACGGTCCTACGGACCTAGTGCTCTGAAACCATGTTAGAATCAAGTGACAGGAATGAATGCACTAGGAAAGTGTTGGGTACAAGTATGAAATCCTAATAGGGGCTGTACCCCATATTGGCTACCCCACTACAGCCTAACCATATATATCATGCATATAATTTGACAGGCTCAGCCAATATCTGTTTTACAAAAAGGTGCAGTTTTTGAAATGTGCAATTAAAAGCAGAAAAAAAAACACTTGGTGTTTAAAAATCCTTTTCTTACATCTCAACAAACATTGTACCGGTAGTCTTGCTTTCTCAACATGCATTGAGCATGAATGTACCTAGTTCTGAAAACGACAAAAATCCAGTCGTAGCTGGGAAATTTTAAAAATTGGATTCTGAGCCACCGAACAATGTATTCGCAAGCCAGGCCTTCCAAGGAGCATCTTGTTGGTGTTTGAGCCACGATAGCCAAGCGCTGTCTAGCAGGCAGAAGAAGTTGACAAAGAGCAGCTGGTGCTGCACGGGCACGAGCTTGAAGTTGACAGTCTGGATGACGGGCCACACTGTGGCCTCTGTCAGGAAGCCCGGGAGGAAGTCGCGGGCGAGGTCAGTGCGGATCTGGTGCAGCGAGTGGCCGGCCACGAGCCCCGTGTACGTGAAGAAGGCTGCCAGGTGCACGGGGCCGAACGCAAATGTGTCCAGAAACAGCTTCGCCGCCACAAACCGCATCGTCGACGGCCGCAGCCCCAGGCGGTTCCTCACAAAGCCCTCCAGCCCCTCGTACCTGCCACACCCAGGCACGCGCCGCGCGCCAAGAGCCGTGATCAATGAGAGCCAGGCTTGAAACACTGTGCTGCGAGTTAGGGCTTGCGAACACAGAGAGACAGAGATGTGACACTGCAGTTTCACAGTGTTGCTGGCAAACAGGGTGAGGGACAGTGAGGGGTGGACACAAGGGGGAGGAGGTGAGAGAGCCTGCATGATGGGGATGAAGGAGAGAGGTGAAGAGGAATGGAAGGGGGAGGGGAGGGGAGCAGTGGGCGAGGGAGCGCGCACCAGTAGTGACCCAGAGGGCCCACAAAGCCCGCTCCGAAGAGCGCCGTCGTCACCACGCGCCGGTAGTTGAGCTGCTCGCCCGCTCGCGCTGCCACCGCCCCCGCGCCCGACTCACGGCCACCCGCCACGGGCCCTCGCGCGCAGTCCTGCGAAGAAAAGGTTGGTGCTGTGAGCGGTAGGCGCGAGACTCATGTGCGCGCGAGCGGTGGGAGGATGCAGGCCCGGATAGGTACAGGGCCGACGGCACCCTGGAGCAACGCCCGAGGCGAGAGGGCGCGCGCAGCACGCAGTCATGGCGTGAAACGCAAACATTCACTGGCGCGCAACGCGAACGAGCGCGTAACGCGCCCGAGGCGCAGCAAGCACGGGCGGGGAAGACGCACGAGCGCGAATATCGCACGGGGCTGCAAAAGCACGACTAATCAGTCCAACGCACCCGGGCATGGTCGGGCGACGTAGCCCCATCTGCCTGCCGCGACCCCACGTTGACTCGCGCTGCCACGTGTGCATCGGCCACGTGCGCATCGCCCGCGTGTCGGTCAGCCATGTGTCGGTCGATCTGCTGCGCGATGACGTCACCCGACCCCCACAGCACGGTGGAGGTGACCACCTGCGTGCGGACCGGCCGCCGCGACAGCTGCTGCTGGTACCACCCCCAGCACCCGCGCAGCCCGCGCCACGACATGCCGCGCACGCGGAAACGAATCGCGATGCGGGCGAGAGCGGCCGGGCGCGTGGCGGTCGTGCTAGCAGCAGGAGCGTCCCATCCAGCCCGCTCTGCAGTCACCCCCCGCGCGCACCCTACAGCAGTCCTAAATGCACTTGCACCCTAACCAGCCTCCCCTATGCAATCAGCGGTTCGCGATTAGTGATGGGCGAAGAGGGATGTGCGATGAGTGACGACGGAAAGTGGCGAGCGGATAGCGAGAGGCTATGGGTGATAGATAAGGCGAGATAAGCAACGAGAGTGGCGGAAAGCAAGAGCGGGCGTTGGCGTAGCAGAGGTGGAGCTTGTGGCGAATGGTTGTGAGACGTATCACAACTCAAGATGTTGCTCTGGGAGATCTCGAGGTGCGCTGGCTGGCTGTCGTGTGTTTGGAGGGGCTGGTGAAGACTACCGGTGCTGTGCTGCGCCCAACCCTTGGGTTGAAATGGGTTCGGGTGTTCAGATGTTCGAGCATGCGGAAAAAAATGAGAAACCATTGTAGGATGCAATAAGAGAAATTCTTTCATACAACAGAACATTTTCTAGCCTCTTGCCATGTCTAGACTCGCAAGCCAGTCTCTTGACCCTCCCTTGAGAAATGCAGCCCCCCACGTCTCTGTAAGACTCCCTACGTAGCACCGTAGTGTAACTTGGCTCCACATCTTATAACGATTGTTAGAATAATAAAGTTGCCAGTCTGTCTCAAGGCAATGCTAGATCGAACAATTTTGTCTCAAGCCTTTGCAGCGGCACGGTGCTTGGTCATCATTTGCACAAAGTCATGGAACACTGCACATAGCAGAGGCAAAGCAGGAGCAGAGAGGCAAGTAAGCAGCTATCACATGTGCGCGTGCACGTGGCATGCAGGAGTCGCGAGCAACCAATGCAACTTGGCGCTCAGCCAAAGGTGGTGCGACGATCTGCATTGATGGTGTATCAGCGCTAGTATGATGCATGGGCTGTGCTGTATGCTGCATGGCTGGTGCTTGGGTGGGCAAGGGTGGGTGGTGCATAGCAGGTGCAGCGTGGTGGCAGTCTGACCTGGGTCGGCGTCATGGGGCCCAGGGGAGGACTCGGGGTGGTACTGGATGCTGATCACGTTGAGAGCTGGGTACGCCAGCCCAGCACACGTGCCGTCGTTCAGGTTGATGTGCGTCACCTGCACGCCCTCCGGCAGACTCTCCGGATCCACCGCGTAGTTGTGGTTCTGCCCCCCCCCGCACAGCACCGCCGCACACACCACACGCGTCGTACATGAGACATGGCACATGGTACACAACACAGTGCAAATGACACACAGGAAGGACAACATCAGATGCATCCTTAATTGAAACAAAAGTACACCCAAGCTCACACACACCTGCATGCGCATGCCTGGCGCCTGTACTTCACACCATCCCCACACAAACCCCCATCTTCACCCGCACCACATCCCCCCCCCACACCCCTCCCAGCACTGACCTGCGCGCTGATCTCGACGCGGCCGGAGGCGAGGTGGCGCACGGGGTGGTTGCCGCCGTGGTGGCCGAACTTGAGCTTGAAGGTGCGGCCGCCCAGCGCCTGCCCCAGCAGCTGGTGCCCCATGCAGATGCCCAGCGCCGGCACCGTGCCCACCACCGCACGCACACTCTCCACCGCGTACGGCACCGCCGACGGGTCGCCCGGCCCGTTGCTGCACGTTGGCAGGGGGGCGGAGGGCGGTGGAGCAGAGGTGGAGGGGGGTGGTGATGAGAGTGACGACGAGTGCAAGTGGGCGAGGCGGGGGTGAGGAAGAGAGGGCAGGCGGGAGACCAAGGGCAAGGATACGAGGGAGGGCGCGAGAGGCAGGTGGTGGGGAAAGCAGGGAGCGCACCTGAAGCGGTGAGGCGGATACACCTCAAGAAGCGCACCTGAAGCGGTGAAGCGGATACACCTCAAGAAGCGCACCTGAAGCGGTGAAGCGGATACACCTCAAGAAGCGCACCTGAAGAGGACACCGTCGGGGTTGAGCTTGGCGAGGTCCTCAGGCGGGTAGGTGGAGGGCACGACTGTGATGCGACAGCCGTACGACGCCAGGCGGCGCAGAATGTTGTGCTTTATGCCAAAGTCGTACGCCACCACCTGGGGGGGTTAGACGGGGGGGATGGGGGGGGTGATGCATCAAGGTGATGAGCTGACTCTCATGAAAGGCGTTGACTCACGTGGAAGGCGTTGACTCACATGGAATGCGTTGACTCACATGCAAGGCGTTGACTTGACTCACGTGGAATGCGTTGACTTGACTCACGTGGAATGCGTTGACTTGACTCACGTGGAATGCGTTGACTTGACTCACGTGGAATGCGTTGACTTGACTCACGTGGAATGCGTTGACTTGACTCACGTGGAATGCGTTGACTTGACTCACGTGGAATGCGTTGACTTGACTCACGTGGAATGCGTTGACTTGACTCACGTGGAATGCGTTGACTTGACTCACGTGGAATGCGTTGACTTGACTCACGTGGAATGCGTTGACTTGACTCACGTGGAATGCGTTGACTTGACTCACGTGGAATGCGTTGACTTGACTCACGTGGAATGCGTTGACTTGACTCACGTGGAATGCGTTGACTTGACTCACGTGGAATGCGTTGACTTGACTCACGTGGAATGCGTTGACTTGACTCACGTGGAAGGCGTTGACTTGACTCACGTGGAATGCGTTCACTTGACTCACGTGGAATGCGTTGACTTGACTCACATGGAATGCGTTGACTCACATGGAATGCGTTGACTCACATGGAATGCGTTGACTCACATGGAGTGCGTTGACTCACATGGAGTGCGTTGACTCACATGGAGTGCGTTGACTCACATGGAGTGCGTTGACTCACATGGAGTGCGTTGACTCACATGGAGTGCGTTGACTCACATGGAGTGCGTTGACTCACATGGAGTGCGTTGACTCACATGGAGTGCGTTGACTCACATGGAGTGCGTTGACTCACATGCAAGGCGTTGACTCACATGCAAGGCGTTGACTCACATGCAAGGCGTTGACTCACATGCAAGGCGTTGACTCACATGCAAGGCGTTGACTCACATGCAAGGCGTTGACTTGACTCACGTGGAATGCGTTGACTCACATGGAAAGCGTTGACTCACATGGAATACGTTGACTCACATGGAAGGCGTTGGCCATGGAGACCTCCTTGGCATCGCTGCTGAACTCCCACTCGCCCGTGGGGTCCACCCACACGTACGGCTTCTCACACGTCACCCCCGTTATCAGATCCTTGCCTGTGCGCCCATGCACGCACACACGTATCAGAGCACAGAGGGAGCACATTGCACTCAGCTGTTCCATACGAGTGGTGAATGCTTCATATGCTCTGTGCGCCACGAGTGCATGCAGCCACGAGTGCATGCAGCCATAAGCATGACCAGCAGTGCTTGCTCACCAACGATGCTGTAGGCTCACCAACGATGCTGTAGGAGCGAGCCATCTCCACGAGCTCCTCGTCCGACTTCTTGCGGTCCGTTGAGATCACACCTGCCACCGCCACGCACACACTGTCAGTCACCCGCACACCGAGGGCGCATCGTCACACAAAAGGTACAGCACCACCATACCTTTGCCCTACGCGCCATGAACCATGCAGCATGCACCATACTCCATGCACGTCTTGCAGATGATGCATCATGCACCATGCACCCTCCATCCTGCCCCTCTAACAGTGCAAGCTGCCCCTCTCACCGTTCAAGCTGCCCTTGTCGCGCAGTCGCTTGGTGATGGCGCGCGTGTCGATGTCCGCTGCACCGCGGGTGGAGGGTAGGAATGGGGGGAAGAATTGGGGGATGGGGTTGAATGTGGTGGTTTGGGGGCGCGGGGATGAACGTGAGGTGGAAGGTGAGGCGTGACCGTGGGTATGTGACACGTGATGGCGGGTGCTGTGCTGCCCCTCACTCCCCTCTTCCTTCCTCTCCCACTCCCCTCTTCCTTCCTCTCCCACTCCCCTCTTCCTTCCTCTCCCACTCCCCTCTTCCTTCCTCTCCCACTCCCCTCTTCCTTCCTCTCCCACTCCCCTCTTCCTTCCTCTCCCACTCCCCTCTTCCTTCCTCTCCCACTCCCCTCTTCCTTCCTCTCCCACTCCCCTCTTCCTTCCTCTCCCACTCCCCTCTTCCTTCCTCTCCCACTCCCCTCTTCCTTCCTCTCCCACTCCCCTCTTCCTTCCTCTCCCACTCCCCTCTTCCTTCCTCTCCCACTCCCCTCTTCCTTCCTCTCCCACTCCCCTCTTCCTTCCTCTCCCACTCCCCTCTTCCTTCCTCTCCCACTCCCCTCTTCCTTCCTCTCCCACTCCCCTCTTCCTCACACCCCTCTTCCTCCCTCACTCCCCTCTTCCTCCCTCCCTCACTCCCCTCGGCATCACTCACAGATGCCCATCATGTTGTGTTGCCGCAGGTAGTCGGGCAGAGTCTGCGACGACCGCCAGTTCGACACGCTGGGGGGCGCCAAGGGGACGAGCGCGGGAGGGGCAGGTGGAACAGGGGGCGGGAGCAGAAGGCGTCGGTCCGCTGCATTGCGCGGTACAACGGCGAATGCAACTGTGGGCATGCGAATATGACGCTGCGCCTGCATTTAATTGTGCGCCTGTGAGAGTGCGCATGTGGAAACCTGCCTGTCGGCGTGTGACTGTGGAAATGTGACTGGGAATGTGACTGGGAATGTGACTGGGAATGTGACTGTGGAAATGTGACTGGGAATGTGACTCGGGCAATTTGACTGGGAATGTGACTCGGGCAATTTGACTGGGAATGTGACTCGGGCAATTTGACTGGGAATGTGACTCGGGCAATTTGACTGGGAATGTGACTCGGGCAATTTGACTGGGAATGTGACTCGGGCAATTTGACTGGGAATGTGACTCGGGCAATTTGACTGGGAATGTGACTCGGGCAATTTGACTGGGAATGTGACTCGGGCAATTTGACTGAGAATGTGACTCGGGCAATTTGACTGAGAATGTGACTCGGGCAATTTGACTGAGAATGTGACTCGGGCAATTTGACTGGGAATGTGACTCGGGCAATTTGACTGGGAATGTGACTGTGGGAATGTGACTGTGGGAGTGCACTGCATTGGAATTGCGTAGCTTCGAACGCGCGCGCGCTCACACACCCACACACACACACACCCACATTCCCCCCCCCTCTCCACCCCCTCCCCCCCCACCCCCACAAAGCACAGCGGCGACGGCGCGGCACGGGGAAGGCGGCTCACCAGTTGCTGATGCTGCGCACCACGAGCCCCGACGTGAAGCACGTGCGCGACTCCTCGTCCTCTGCGCGCCGATGGGGGAAGGAGGAGGGGGGAAGGGAGAGGACAGGGGGGAAGGGAGAGGACAGGGGAGAAGGGAGAGGACAGGGGAGAAGGGAGTGTTAGGGGGCAGGACGGGGGATGTGCGCGATGATCGCCGGCGCAGCGACGACACGGGCGAGCTAGGGGCAGGGGGAAAGGTAGACAGACAGGGACGGGTGGGTGAGCGCGGGGAGCGGGCGGACCTTCATTGATGCCGGTGTTGCCGATGTGCGGGCAGGTCATGAGCACGATCTGGCCGGCGTAGCTGGGGTCGGTGATGATCTCCTGGTACCCCGTCAGCGACGTGTTGAACACCACCTCCGCCGCCTGCGTGCCGCGCGCGCCGAACGACGACCCCTTCCACACCGACCCGTCCTCCAGCGCCAGCCGCGCGTCCGCCGCCCGCCACGGCCGCTCCACGTCCGCCGCTGCTCCGCGCACAGGGGGAAGGGGGAGTGGGTGGGGGAAAGGTGAGCACGGATGCAGGAGGAGAGAAGCTCGAATGGCGGTGGGGAAGGGGGTGAGGCTCGCGGGAAAGGGGGCTTCTTGGAAAAGGGGTGGCATCGTCGGACATGGCAGCGCGCATCAAGGATGGCTGCCACGCCCCCTCGCGAAGGTCGGCCAACAATGCGGGCGCGATCGTTAGGGGCGCGCGCAACTTACGATTAGGCGGCTGAAGGTGCAACGAGCAGAAGCAACGATCGATGAGTCACTGCTGCTGGCGGAGATGGAGGTAAAATGGTGGGTTAATCGTGGATCGCCGCGACTCACCGGCGCTGGCGCGAACGACGGTCGCTGAAGCCGCGCGCTTGGATGGCGCAGCGACGCCCTTCGATTTGGCGCCGACCCCCAGGGACTGCCCCAGCTGCGCGGAGGCGCACCACCCCAGTGCGGCCTGCTTGCCGCCACATTCCCTGGCCTTGATGGCGCCCCCCGCCCTGGCGACGGGCGCGAGGCCCGGCTGCGCCAGGTGAAGCGCGCTTAGTCTGACGGCCGCCATGGCGCCGATCGGATCGAGCGACGAGGAGGATCGGAAGACGAGGGCGAGTGAAGGTATTCGCACACTGCGCTCCCTTGGTTTGCTGCAGCGATCGCAGATGAAGTCTCAAGGAATATGATGATGTGCGTCGTGATCACGCCACAAGCAGCTGTTATTTGTCTTGTGTTGCTCTCGGCAATGGTGGGAGCTTCAACACACACAAATGCTCTCGTGAGAGGGGCGACTGGAATGGGTGTGGGGGAGGAAATGCGCGGGTTCTGGGGGGACTTCCACTCTCACTGACTAACCACGTGACGCTGATTTGGCAGTGCTGACTAGGAAACGGCGCCGGTTGGTCCCTTGGATGGAATCTGAGGTAAGAGCAAGGCCGCAGAAAGCAGCGCGTGGCAGTGAACCATGAAAAAACAACCAATCATATGCGATGGGCAGCCGAACTGTGAGGTGTGTCTCGGGCAAAGGGAAAAGTGGCGCAATACACCGCCGCAAAAACATTTTCCCTTCCCCTGAAACTGAGGGCAGGGCAGGAGTGCCCGTAGTTCCTCTTCGGCCAAATCTCAAGGTATGAAGCGAATGGGGTGTGGAGACTGACTTTCCCCATCAAAGCTGGGTGAAGCTTAGGACGGCTGCACAATGTTACACCAAACCTGCAAGTCGTCAACGTCGCTACACGTACAGTACTCCGTCGCTAAATTACAGCGCCTTTCGCCGCAGTTAGCAAACGCGAACTTGATGGCTTGGAAGGGGTTATGTGAGTTGCGAGTTGTAAGGGCGCTTCACCTCTCAGTTCGAACAGGACGGTTGTTCGAACAGGCGAAATGTTACATTTTTCGCCACTCTTCGTATGGGTGTTCGTGACGTCGCTAGTCGGAAATTTCGCGAATTTGAACAGAGTTGTCACACGGGGCACGAAGCTCTCCATTCCGCACGTTCGAACAGAGTTGTTCGAACAAAGTTGGGTTTGGTGACAGGAATTCCGCATGGACGACTGATTTTATTGGTTAGCAGGCTTCGGGTCGCACTCGAATGTTTGCGACCATTGCAAATGTCGCCATGCAGGAGAAAGTTCATCAAAAAGGACATTGTTGTTGGGAAACAACAAGGTGAGCAGTAGTAGAAGAGCACGAAGAGACTGTTTGACTGGATGGGCGAAAAATGAGTCAAACTTGAATGGCAGACGACAGAATTATTTTTTTGCGACGTTTCGCGAAGTCGTCCAGCACTTGGCGACGTCGCATGTTCGAACAGGCTGTCACCTCTAGTCACGAGCTGTCACATTCACCAAGGTGTTCAAATTTGTGTTCGGATCTCGTCGGGAAACTGTTCGTACAGTGAATTCGTTACGTATGTTCGGATTTGGGCCTTCCAGCCCCGAGGTGATGCGCCCTAAGAACTCATCGAGTTATGTGTACATCTTGTTATCACATCCTTGTGGATTTTATCGAGTATAACTCAAGTGGGAATTGTAAGTAGCCGCCCTTTATTCGCAAAGCTGCTGTGGACAAGCAGATAGAACGATCTTGAAGGCGCGTAAACACCAGCACCTGCGACAGTAGACCAAGGCGCGCGATGCGGGAAGTGGTGACTCTTCAGTTCGGCAGCTACGCCAACTTCGTCGGCGCTCACTTCTGGAACTTGCAGGTGCGCCTTCCCCATGCGCCTTCCCCCATACGCCTTCCCCCATGCGCCTTCCACCATGCGCCTTCCACCATGCGCCTTCCGCCATGCGCCATCCACCATGCGCCGTGCCGCGCCCATGCCTCCCCAATTGCGCCTCCCCAATTTTCTGAAACCCCGGCGTCCGCGCATCTTCACGCCCTCCCTGCGTCCCTCCCTCCGTTCCTCCTCTTTTAGCCCTTCCTTCAAGCCCCACCCAGGCCCTCCTTCAAGCCCCACCCAGGCCCTCTTTTCCCCAATTCCCCTTCCTCGCGCACCTCTTGCTCGGCCTCCCAGTGTGCGCCGTATCCGCGTGAGCATCGTCGTCCAACCTCCCAATCTCACACCCCGCGCCCCCTTCCCCCACGTGCCTCCGTCCTAGCTACCTGCGTCGCCATGCGCAAGTGACCTCGGAGAACCGACCGCACCTTCTCCCCTCCCCCTCCCCCTCCCCCCTCCCCCTCCCCCTCCCCCCCTCCCCCCTCCCCCCTCCCCCCTCCCCCTCCCGCCTCCCCCCTCGCCCCACTCCTTGCGTCGCGTCCAAGCCTGCAGTGAACTTTCGTTCCCTTATCAACGCACCGCTTTCCCCCCCCATGCCACTTGCTCTTCTTCCCCCTTCCTTGCAGGATGAGGCGGTGGGGCGGCAGGGCGAGGGGGGCGCGGAGCAGAATGGAGCGGGCGTGGAGGAGAGCGTGGTGATGCAGTGGCGCGAGATGCCAGGGCCTGCCGTACGCCGTGGGTGGGCGGGATGTGGGGTGGCGGGAGGGAGGGCGGTGGGCATGGCGGCAGGGGAAGGTGGTGGGGTTGTGGATGAGCAGAGGGGCGTATGATTGCGTAGGGGGTTGTCAAGGCAATTTTCTCTCTGCGCTCCTGGTGCGCTGTCAATCCGCCCTCCCTCTAGTTGTCTCACCAACGCCCTCTCCCGTCTCTCCATCCCCCTCACTCTGTACTCTCCCATGCCGCTCGCTCGCCTTACTCTCTCGCCTCGCTCTCTGTACTCCATCATTCCCTCCCTCACCCCTCCCCCTTCCGCACCCTCCCCCTCAGTCCACACCGTACTGCACGCCGCGCCTGCTCGCCATCGACTATAAAGGTGCGCTCCACCCCTTGTGTTGCACACCGTCATGCCCATCCTTCTTCCCACCATTCTTCTTTCTACTCTTCCACGTATCCCTCTTGTGCCCCGACGTCTCGTTCCTGTGTATCACTTTCCACCTGGTCGCGTCCCCTGCCCTGCATCGCCCCAACGCTCCCCGACTCCTCTTCTCTTTTGTGCGCTGCAGGCTGCCTTGGCCCCGTCTCCCTCGCCTCGCCTCTCCATGCCCATGGGGGCATCGCCGCTGCACCGTCTGCCATGCCTACCTGGTGAGCCAGCCTACTCACGCTGCCTCTGTGCCTGCTCCCCCATGCACGTGCATGCCTGTCATGCCCCCTGCACCCACACGACCCCACCCACCTCCATTCCATTCACCACCTGCTTCGCCCGCGCCTCTGCGTCTCTCTTCCACTCTCTTTCTCACGCCCCTCATTTGCACATCCCCTCCCCTCACGCCATACGCCTTGACCCCCCGTCTCCTTCCTTTCAACAGGTCTGGCCCCTCCCATGTCTCGTCGCCCGCGCCTCTCCCCCTCAACCCCTTCCTGCGCCGCCTGCTGCACCCACCCGCACCCGCCGCTCACACAGCCTCTTCCGCACCTAATTCCCAGGCCAGGGGGGAGGAACGGCACGAGGCCACAGGCAGGCACGGTGGGGGGGAGCTGGGAGAGGAGGCAGAGGGGGAGGCGGAAGGGGAGGAAGAGGAGGAGGCGGAGGTGGCGCGGGGGTTGGAGGGCGGCGTGGGGTACTGGACGGAGTACCTTAAAGCCCACGTGCGCCCCGCCAGTGTGGTGCAGGTGCCGGGCGGGTGGTGGCAGGGTGCGCTCTCCCCCCTGGACGCGGGGGGGTATGGCGACTGGCGCGAGGTGGGGGGCGGGCGGGAGGGCGAGGAGGAGGTGGAGGAGGGCGTGAGGCGGCTGGCAGAGGAGTGTGATGCGCTGCAGGGCTTCTCGCTGCTGCTGCACGCCACCTCGCCCTTTGCCTCCCTCGCCACGCGCACCGCACTGCACCTGGCTGTGGAGTTCCCAAGGGCGCCCAAGCTGCTCTTCTCCCTGCGCCCCCCTGACGCCCTGCTCCCGCCCGCCACCCTCTCCCCCGGCCCCCACGCCCTGCCCGGCATGCCCTCGCTGCATGACCTCTCGTCTGCCGTCTCCCTGGCCTCGCTGCTGCCCCTCACCTCCCTCATTCTGCCCCTCGGCCTGCCCTCCCTCTCCGGTACGTGCCCCGGCTGCCCTGCTGGCGTGCTGGTCTGCTTGTGCCTGCGGCGCTTTCCGCTGCTGGTGCGCGCTTTTATTTCCACGCACAAAGCCCCCCCCTCCCAACACACGCTCCACATAAGCGTGCGTTTTGTCTGAGATGCCGGATGTCGCCACACCTCTCTCGTTCCACCCACCACCCGCCCACCTGTGTCAACCACTCACCCCTGCACCCTGCCCCACCCCTCCACCAACTCCACCAGGTGTGCTGCCGCACGTGCATGCCAGCGACACCGCTCTCTTCCACTCCTCTGCTCTGCTCGCCACTGCCATCGACGCCCTCTCCTCGCCCTTCCGCCTCGCCCCGCGCGCCCCCACCTGCGCCTCCTCCCCCGTGGGCGCCGTGTCCCTCAGGGACTACTGCACCCTGCTCTCCCTCTCCTCGCCCCATGCCGCCCTCGCTTTCGCCTCCTTGGCCCTGCCGGCTCAGCCGCTACACGAGGCAGGGGAGCAGGAGGCGGCGAGTGGAAGCTCGCCATGTAGCATGGCGGTGCTGACGTCAGACGTGTGCAGCAGCGGAGAGGGGCGAGGAGGGAGGGGAGGAGGCAGTAGGGGAGGGCAGCGAGGCGAGGGGATGGGGCAGCAGCAGGAGGGGGAGGAGGGGGAGGAGGGGGAGGATTTGGAAGCAGGCATTGGAGCACAGGTGGTGGTGGCACGTGGTGCAGTGGGGCAGCAAGCTACAGGTGCGGAGGGTGGGTGGGAGTGGGGGTGAGGGTGGGTATGGATGCGAGGTAGTGAGGAGAGACTGCTGGCAGTGAAGAGGGAAGATCAAAGTATGATGGGGGTTGGAGGGGGGATGGTGAGAGCAAGTGTGGGTGGTGCATGGGCAGGGCACATGAGTGTGCTGTGCATCCCTCGCTCACTGCACCTCCTCATCTTCATTCACTGCACCTCCTCATCTTCATTCACTGCACCCCCCTTTTCCCCTCCCTTCTCCCCTCCCCTTTCCCCTCCCTTCTCCCCTCCCTTCTCCCCTCCCCTCACCCCTCCCCTCTCCCCTCCCTTTTCCCGCCCTCCCACATGTCTGCAGGCCCCACCAGCACTGTCCCCACACCGCTACCACCAGCGGCGGCAGCAGCAGCCATCCACCGGGCCCTCCTCGCCGCCCGCCCTCGTGCTCCGCCCTGCATTGCCCACATCGCCGCCGCCCAGCAGCCCCTCGCCATTCCCCTGCCCTTTCCTCGGTTCTTCTCCGATGACATCAGCAAATACGGCCTCATCCTGCCGCCCTCCCGGCACCGTGCCAGCCACTTTGCTTCCCTGGCGGGCGGGGTAGCAGCAGCAGCGGCGGGTGGAGTGGGAGGAGGGGGGTGGGGAGGCGGGAATGGGGTGGGAATGGGACCGGATGTGGAGTGGGCGCCAGTGGTGGCGCGGGCAGCAGCGGGGAGGGGTGGGGCACGGCACGGGGAGGTGCTTGCCGGTGCTTTGGAGTGGGTGGGGGGCCCTCGAGGGGGGGCGGGCAGGCAGGTGGTGGCGGCGTGGGGGGTGGAGGGCGAGGAGGTGCGGGAGATGCGCGAGCGCGTGTTGGATGTGTGTGGGCGGCTCAGGGGGGAGAGATATGAGGATGACAGTGAGTGACGCGTTGTGTGTGTGCGGCATTCACATGGCACCGCGCATCGGATGAGTGCGCCAGGTGCTCAAGGATACCGTATGCCATGCCATGGTTCATTATGTGCTCTCTATGTTGAGTGTGTTGGGAACAAATAGTTTAAGCGCCTCTGTCGTGTCAGAACTCAAGACACAAGCGAAGCAGCTCAAATCGAAGCATCGCGAGTCAACCCTCGGAAGTTAACGTAACCGCTGGAGGTTACGAGAAAGTCAAAGGTCAGCGACCTTTGACCTGACGCAGCGCGACAGCAAGGACACACAACTGACTCGACATTGAGCAGTTGCCCGAGTCGCACTGTATCGAACCGCAACAGTAAAGTAGTTATAATGTCTCTTCATATTCTTTGTACTCATATATTTATTCCTGTATCTCTTTGCTTTAATCAACTTACTTTGCCCTCACATACTAGCGTAAGGTGGTTCAAGGACTTTATTCAACGCTTCCGCTATTACATCACTTACTCAGACTTTAACTCTACAAAGACCCTAGGGCTTTTCAGCCCAACATGGTATGAGAGCAGTTAGAGTTAAAAGTTACTATTTTTTCAACGCTCAATACATCAAGAAGACATGTCTGCTAGAAAGGAGAGGAGCTCCTCCAACGGCTCTCCCGGTACTACCCCTACTCCACCTCCTGCCTCTGGCCTACAGACAGAGGAAGGGACAACGACGAGACCAGCAGCTGGGTCTACGGAAACACCCGCAAACCAAGGCGCGGGCTTCGATCCAAGCATGATGGAGAAATTCTTCTCCTTCATGTCCTTCTACGAGCAGCATCAGCAAGGAGTACCTACGCAATCAAACAACAGCAACAACAACAACAACGTGACACCCATGAGTCTCGATGGCTCATCCTACGCACGCGGGAATCAACATCAACAACCTACCTTCGCTCCGTACGAGCCCCAGCGCGGCTCTGTCAGCTTCATGCCGCAACCACAACCTGCACCGGGACAAGAGAGAGCGCTGGACGCATTACAAGTTCAGTCGCAATTCGCGCATGTTCTAAAACTACAAACGACAAAGCCTTTTGACGGAAATGACTTCTTTACCTGGTCGTTCGAATTCGAGCTGATGATGGAAGAAGCGCAGATCCTTGGCTTCTTCGACGGGTCCCTGCCATATCCAACAAACGGCACACATTATGAGAAGCAGCAGTACACCTATCAATCGATGATGGCGTACACAATACTACTGAGGAACATCACACCGACCCAACAGCAGAACATAAGGACTTACCGAGGTTACGGTAACTCCGCGGAGCTCGCGTACAACCACTTGAAGAACCTGTATCAAGCAACAGACAGTGTAAACCAAAGTCGGTTAATGGCGCAGCTGACAACAATAGAAATGAAACCAGGCGAGAAGGGCATGGAGTATATCAGTCGCTGCCGCGAGCTGCGGGACAGGCTTCTTCGATGTGGGGGATCGATCTCAGAAGGCGCCTTTGTCACGGTTGTCATCGGCGGTCTCGGCCCTCACTGGCGCTCCACTCGCGCCATACTACGAGCACACAGGAGAATCTCCGAAGCAGCACTCTGCGCCGAAATCCATGCCGAGCAGCAGGACATGGACCTGCAAGAAGAACGACATAAGAAGAAAACGTCAGTACCAGAGTTCGCGTTTCACACCCAGCGACGCTACAAGAACAACAACAACAGTCGACAGCAACAACAACCGAAGCCAGTACCTCCGTTTTGCCACATCTGCAAGACTTCAGGGCATCCTCGTACGCACTGCCCGTATCGTCATCAATCGACAACACCACAGCGACAACTTCGACCTTCGAGTAGCCAAGTCACTTCAACACAAGCTACCCCGACACCTTCAGTCCAAGCTTCAACGACTCCAACAGGACAACCTGCACAAAAAGCAAGAAACATCGTCAACTGCATGGTAAAGATAACAGATTCCTGCACAACCGGGTCACCACCATACTACTCACCAGAAGAGCAACTCGACAACAGCACGCCTCGCCGCGAGTCCCTTCAACCGAACCCGACGTACGCCGCCATTGCTCAAAGCGAACCGTCCGGGAAAGATACATGGTTCTTGGACAGTTGCTGCGGACAGCACATGTGCTCTTCGGGACGCTTCGTCCAACGCGAACATCGACTTCAACGAGAGGTCGTCATCACAGTCGCCAACAACCAGAACCTGCGCACACGACGACAAGGAGTAGTACAACTTCAGTCACGAGAGACAAATGTTATACTGCATATGTCAAAGGTACTAATCGCGGAGGGACTCGGCTACAACTTACTGAGCGTCAGCCAGTTGATGGCGAAAGGCATTCACTTGGAAGCCGACAGTACCACCCAGGAGTTCAAATTATACCACGGGAAAGGCGGCCTCTGTGAAAGTAATGAACAGGAATGAATGACTAAGGAAAGATTGGGGTACAAATACAACCCTGGAAACCTGTACCCCATATGTGCTACCCCACTATAGCCTACAGCAACTATGTCATATAAATCTGACACACCCCCATAGGCAAAGTGGGGGAGAACAAGGGGTCACAAGACCAGTCAAGCAAAGCAAAGCAAAGCTCAGGGTGGATCACAAAGTCACCACACAGTCCGAGCACAAGGTCAAGGCCACAAGGCCAGTTCACATGCAAGACTAGACACATATATATATAAGGCTAAACAAGCAAGAGCAGGTATATATATATATATGCAAGAGTACAAGCAAGGTCAAGAGGTGAGCAAGTGAGGTAGGACAGGTACAAGTCCCAGCTGAGTGCAGAAGCACTGATGGTCACAAGGCGCGAGTGCCTTGGTGAATACATCAGCAGTGATGGCCTCAGAGGCCACGTAAGCAAGCCGCAACTGTCCACGCTGCTGTAGCTCACGAGCAAGAAAGTAGCGAAGAGCAATGTGCTTCGTTCTGTGCTCCAGACGCTGCTCTCGACACAAGGCCAGCATGGCCTTGTTGTCTACGTACAGCACTTGAGGAGAACGAGGCGGCTCTCCAAGGTCAGACAGCAGGTAGGTGAGCCAGCGAAGCTCCTGTGCAGCCATGGCCCCTGCGTAGATCTCAGCCTCACAACTGGAGCTGAGAACCAAAGACGAGCGACTAGCCCGCCACGAGACAGAGCCGGAACCAAGGCTGAAGGTGTAACCCTGTGACGACCGCTGCGTAGCCTGGTCGTCAGCCCAAGAAGCGTCCGCGTGTCCTGTAAGGACCACTGGACTCCGCCCTCCAAGCACTAGCCCCATGCCCGACGTACTGCACAAGTAGCGCAACACCCTCTTCGCTGCAGCCATGTGCTCTGGTCGGTGTCTCCCAGGAGCAACATAGCGTGCAAGAATGCTAAGAGGGTATGCAAGGTCAGGTCGTGTGCAGGTCATCAGGTACATGAGGCAGCCAACAAGCTCTGGGTACGGGCCACTCGACTCTACGGACTCATCCGAAGGCAGAGCTGAGAGCGAGTGGCGAGTAGACAGAGGAGTGGCCTGTGGCGAGGAGTACGTGAAGCCGAAGCGCTGAAGGACCTGCTGCACCATGTGTGACTGAGTCAAGGTAATGGTGCGGCGTGCTCTGTCCCGAGTGATCTGCAAGCCAAGATAGCTGCGCAGTTCACCCAGGTCTGTGCACGTGTGTCTCTTCAGCAGCTCCGACTTCACGTAGGCGAGTCCACCAGTGTCCGCTGTGGCAAAGACCAAGTCGTCGACGTACACGAGGATGTAGAACGGCGGCAAAGAAGTGTCGGTGCGCAGAAACAGCGACGGGTCAGCAGTAGAAGGAGCAAACCCAAGAGCCGCAAGCATAGTCCTCAGTGTGTCGTGCCAGTCACGCGGTGCCTGGCGGAGACCGTAGACTGGCCGTCGGAGGCTCCATTGGGTGCCAGGAGGGAAAGTCCCAGTGAAGCCAGGTGGACGGCGCAATCAGATCTCCTCGTGCAGGCTACCCTGCAAGAACGCAGTGATGAAGTCGAGAGAGTGAAGCTCGTAGTCGCGCTGAGCGGCTATGTGCAGCAGCACTCGAAGAGTAGTCATCTTCGGGGTGGGAGAGAAGGTCTGAAAGTAGTCAACTCCCTGCCGCTGACTGAAGCCACGAGCGACGTACCGCGCCTTGAAGACAGGTGGAGAGCCCGGCGGCCGCTTCACCCTGAAGATCCACATGCCACTGACGATGTTCGCCCCAGGAGGGGGAACCGCGTCAACGTAGGTGCCTGTGGACTTCCAGGAAGCCATCTCTGCATCCATAGCTGCCTACCACTGAGAGGAGTAGGGACCCTCTACGGCCTCCGCGTAAGAGCGCGAAGTCTGGATGTCTAGTGCATCCGGGTCTCCCTCAAGAGCAAGCACTACCGACGCGAGATGAGGTGAAGCAGCAGCCAGACACTGGAACTCCTCCTACCTGTCCTCAAGGACGTCCGTGCCAAGAGCACACTCACCCCCGACGGACGGAGGACAGACAGACGCAGACTCAGCAACAAGACTGGCAGCGTACTCTAGACGACAGTGAGCAGCAAAGTCGACGAGCTCAGCGACAAGAGCAGACGCAGCAGCGGACTCAAAAGAGGGGTCAGTGACGACAGTAGCAAGCACACGCGTGACAGTAGGACTGGCAGCACGAAGGGAGTCCGACTCTGGGTCGGCAAGCACAGGAAGGGAGGACTCAGGAGGAGCAGGCAAAGGGGCACGCAGAGGAGCAGTGGACGGACGCAGAGACATCCGGTGCGTGCCAGGGACAGGAGGAGGACGCTGACGCAAACCGCGACCACTAGCGCGAGCAGCACGAACAGGCGACGCAGGACGAGACGCAGGCTCAAGACGCTCAGCAAGACCTCAAGTAGGACCAGTGTAAGGAGAGGGAGCAGGCAGTGGAGAGGTAGGCTCCAACAGTGACTGCGACTGGACAGGCTGTGGACACTCTACGGGAGAAGAAAGACCAAGAACGAAGTACGGCCGAGGCCGCGCGGCAACTCCAGACTCAGCAGGGACAGCACCAGCACCCTCAGC